CTGACAACTATAAGTCTTAAACACGGCATTGCTGGGACCATCTATGAAGAGAAACTAGTAAAAGGGAAGCCAGTACAGAAGAAAATTGAGGACATGCTTTTTCTTTTTCTTGATTTCAGAGAAAGAGGGAGAGGGAGAGGGAGAGGAAGAGGGAGAGGGAGAGGGAGAAGGAGAAAATAAAGGAGAGAGGGAGAGAGAGAGAGAGAGAGAGAGAGAGAGATCAGGCCCTGACATGGTTTGCCCCAATCAAGCTATGCCTGATTCATTCTTGGCCTTTTTTTTGTGGGCCAACCAAGTCCTTTGTTTTACTTATTCCAGGTGGGTTTTCTGTCGCTCACAACTGGAAGAATCCAGAAGAAATGTGGGACCAAAAAGTTCTAAATTCAAAATTATTTAATTCAGCCTCGATGAAAGTTATAACTTATATAAAAATTTTCATATTAGGAACTTTGAGGGAATAAAATAACTGGGCTTTGGGCATAGGGCTCTGAGGATGCCAAGCTCGGTGGTGCTGCAACATCTCGTCACCGGAAAGAAGGCTGGGAGAACCTCAGTGACACCAGGAGCGCAAACATTAGTAGGTTGGGCATAGGTCCTCTCCAGGTTTCAGCAACTTCTGTCTGGTCACATGGATGGATGCGGGCTTGCTACAAGTCCTTACAGCATCTTGATTGTTAATGGTGCAGGTTCTACAACTCCTAACTTTGAGACTGTGCACTTGCTTTATTCATTTGCTGTGAGAAACTGAATTCGAATTCACCTATCAACCTTGAAACGACTAAACCAGAAACTATAATTTAATTGATCTTATCACAATCAGCTTAGCAGGCATAAAGGACAGATGAAACCCTCTTAGAGTTAAGAAAAATATTTTTGTTCCTGCATCTATTATCAAGTAGAAACAATTGTAAGAAATGTAAATTTTTTTACCTTTTAAATTTTACTGTTTTGGTTTTATCTTCCCATCAAAATATGAGGAGTGCAGGACTGATTATAATCACCTTAATTTTAGAGAGAGAAATGGTAAGCAAAGAGAGCAGTCATCTACTTGCAAAACCGAGTAAATGGAATGCAGCTCTTCGGTGATTCACAGAAACTCACACCTTTTCCCGCCTGAGGGGCCCCTCGGCCTTGGCCCTCATCCACGTGTTGCTCCTGGCATGTAATTAAAAGTAATAAAGCTACAGTTTTTTAAACTCTGAACTGATCTCTCTGTGTATTTAAGTCAATATGGAAGATGTTAGTGTGTTTTATTATTCCTAATGGAAGTCATATGTTAAGTAACTTAATATAACTTACATTTTATATGCAGTTAAACTTCACTGCATTTCCCCTGGTGCCAATAAACAATGGCTATGGAAGGGAAGGTGGTATGATTCAGCATCCACACCTCAGATTTTTTTTGTATGCCTTATTATCTAAGCTATATGAGTGTGTGTGTGTGTGTGTGTGTGTGTGTGTGTGTGTGTATGGTTTTCATCGGTTTCTTTTTTTCTGGTTGGTATTATAATTACTAGAGATAGTGTTTATATCTTGGATTATTAGCAAGTTCAGTCCATTGAACTGACCACATTCAACATAATGTTACCAGTAACTCATGCTAATGTTGTGAAGTTGTATTTTAGGAATGGATTCATGGATGCAATCTCCCAGAAAAATGGTCAGGGGAAAATGTGAGGCTGCTTAAACAGTTACCATCAGCAAGTTCCACATTACTTCTCAGCCCCATAGGAGCTAATACCAGCTAGAGGCCGCCATCTCTATTTCAGTGGTTGTAAAGGTATTCTTAATCCTGAAGCAACCAGGATTGGTTGGCTGGTAACTGCTTAAAACACGATTTGGAAATTAGAATGGAGTACTCACAGGGCATGCCTTAAGGACTTGCCGTGGTTGGCTATGTTGGAAAGGATAGGAGGAGAATGGGGGAGTGGGATGTCTCCAGATGTTCGCTAGGAGTATGACAGGCCCGTCTCTCAAGTGGCAATGGTTCCTTGATGGTGTGGCTTGGCGATGGGCAGCTTAAACATGCCAGTGACAACTTCGGCTTGAAGCGGTGCATCTCCAAGCATGGTTCCTAGTGCATCTGGTGATCCTGTCATATGAAGAATCTTTGAAAATTTCATTCACCTCGTAATGATGAGTGTTGTTAGGACTCTACCTAGTCTTAGGCCTGATTCAAAATTATGATGATGGTAGCCATGTTGATAATGACTGTGACTGAGAATTTACACTCTGTGCCGGGCATGGTGCTGAACACTTTGTATGTGTTATCTGACCTACACCTCACAATAACCCTCTAGAGTTGGTAGCATTATTGTCTTCATTTTACAGAAAATGGAGGCACAGAAACGAAAATGGCCAAGGTCACAAAGGTAGTGGCCAAGCCAGGATTCAAATCATGGTCTAACTCCAAAATATATGCTTTTTAAAAATGTGGTAAAATATACATAAAGTTTATTATTTTAACCACTTTAAAAGTGTACAATTCAGTGGTGCTTTGTACATTCACATTTGTGCAACTGTCACACTATATAATTGCTGAAAATTTTCATCACCCCAAAAGGCAACTTCATGCCCATTAAGCAGTGACTCCTCACCCCCTTTCCCCAGAACCCCTGGCAACCACTCATCTTTTTTCTGTCTCTATGGATTTGGACATTTCATATGAATAACATCATACAATATCTGTGTCTGGCTTCATTCACTTAGCATGATGGTTTTAAGATTCATTCATGTTACAGCAGGTATCAATACTTCATTCCTTCTTAGAGCCAAATATTAACCCATTGTGCCACATTTTTGTTGTTGTTGTTGTTGTTTTAAATATATTTTATTGATTTTTTACAGAGAGGAAGGGAGAGGGATAGAGAGGTAGAAACATCGATCAGCTGCCTCCTGCACACCCCCACTGGGGATATGCCCGCAACCAAGGCACATGCCCTTGACCAGAATCAAACCTAGGACCCTTCAGTCCTCAGGTTGACGCTCTATCCACTGAGCCAAACCGGCTAGGGCCCACATTTTGTTTATGCACTCATCAGTTGATGTAAACTTGGGTTGTTCCCAACTTGGCTATTGTGAGTAGTGCTGCTATAAACATTCAGGTACAAGTTTTTGTTTGAGCACCTGCTCTCAGCTCTTTTGGGTAAAAAATATAGTCTTTGAATCATAAACCTATGCTGACAAAGCAGGAGACGACCAAATATCTCAAAATCTTCAGACATTCAAAAAATTCCGAGGACCTACTGTACAACCACCTAGCAGGCTAAGCACTGGGAATATACATTGTAATGAATAAGACAGGCATCATCCCTGTCCTCCTCAGGAATGAAAGAAAATTGAGTGAGTAAAACACAGACCTGGCAGCAGTTAGGACTAAGGGTTCCCTTTCCATTTGCTATTACAGGAAAGTACAAAAGAGCAAGGGTGCTCCTGAGCGAGATGCTCTAACAGGGTGCTTCTGGATCCAAGAGACAAATACAACCTAGAGTGGCTTAAACAATAATGGCATTTATTGCCTTATGGAATAACTAGAGGCCCGGTGCATGGAGATTCACTCAATAGGCCTTCCTACCCTGGCTGCCGGCACCGGTTTTCCTCTGGCACCCAAGACCCAGGCCTTTGGTTTGGCCACAGCAGCGAGGCTTAGCTTCTCCACTCCAGCTGCGGTGGAGAAGCCAAGCCTCTTCAGTCTTCAGTCATCTTCAGTCTTGGCTCCGCACCTGCATATGCAAA